AAAAATATGTTTTTTTCAAAATTACCTTGAAAGATACTTTAGTCTTACGTACGTACCGCGCAATTTTTTTCTATTAGGAGCTAATATAGATACATACATTCATAAAAATGTATGCTTTAGTATGTGTTAGATATTATCCGTTAGTTTTCATGACTTAAGCTGTTTTCTATTTTTTTTTCATGCTCAACTTTTGCTTACATTTATATGACAAACACATACATAGACACAACACCCCTTACTTACTGCTCCGTTTCCAAGGGACCAGGACTTAACGTTGAGACGTTTGCGCATGTGCGCCCAACTCTGCTACCCACCCACTACATTTTTATATGTGTATGCACATATGTGTACATATGTATGTGTTAGTCACTTTTAAAGCTACCACTTTTTATTCCGTCTTCTTCTTAATTTTCTTGTTCTACTCTCTGTTTCTGCTACTTTATCTATCTACGTCTGCCTTGCTTGCATCCATTCCATATGTATTATGGCTATAAAATGTATGGCAAATGTACGTTTTATGGACTGAAATCGAAAGCAAGGCCTTTTTTGCTGGAACGCCATAGCGTAATTGTTGCGTTGTTGTTGTGGTTTTTGTTCTCTTAGTGCCAATTGTTGTTGCCTACTACTTGCTACAATCATTTTTAATTTTATTTCATTTTATTTACTGCCTGCTGGCTGCTGAAACCACCGTCCCGTCCCTTGGCCATACAAACAGTCTCTGCTCAAGGCATACGATGGATGACGACGTCGACTTCATCACTGTATTGGTTAACTATTTCCATGAATTTGTGCACATACCACCCTGCACGAAATGTATCTAACTATACGTTAACTGTAAGTTGATTCGGAAGGAGCTAAAAGTCACTTATTATCTGTATACTTGCTTTGACGAAAGCTAACTATATTTCTATGGCGATGGCCGCGAAATACCTCTGCATTAGATGTAACTAACTTGTAACTAACTACTTTTGGACATAAAATATCAATAGGAAAAACAAAATATTTATTCTTTTTTATTTACTTTATTTATTTTATTACATTTCTTATTCTGCATTGGTGGTCTCATAACTTCAAAATGATAATATAAAATTTTCTTCATTACTCCTGCATTACTTGTCAACTAGTTTCAAGTTAGCTTTTCGTAGCCAACTACAAGTTATATATTTTATAGAAATCCCGCAAAAAAGCTAACTACAAGTGGATTATTTTTTATTAATTGGTAATTTTTTCTGCAGGGGAATATCTCGCTACCAGTATTCTATTCAAGCAGTAAGTAAGCATGCATTAAAGTCACGGTTTAATTGTTGGAATTTTTTGGTATTAAAATTTTTCATGTATCGAAATAGAAAATATTCTGCCAAGTTAATGAGATTTAAGATTGAACTCGCTAGCTCGCTGGCTGGCTGGCTGGCTGTTTTGTTGGTTGGTTGATTGGCGGTCGGACTGGCGGCTGGTGGCTGGTGGCTGTTATTGTGCAATAATTTGCGGTTTTTCGATTTTTTTACATATTTTTTCTCTTAATTTTTTGTGTATAACTATCAACAAGTATATATGTATATACACAGGTACTCACAAGTAGATATTGAGCTACTAAGTATGTATTAGCATTTAATTCAATTGAAAGCTCAACTTAAAGCGTTATTTTGGGAATAGGTAAAGAGTTGCATTTAAATATATGTATGTATGTAATTTTTGGTTTTTCCTTTGTCTTCGTTTCTAATTTTCTAAAAATATTTGCGTTTTGTTGCCGGAAATGTTTGGACGATTATTAATGCGCAATTGCCCAATTGAAGTGATGAAGATTTCGGACTGAGGCTAACAAAAGTTTTATTTACTTTCATGTATGTATGTGCAGGCGGCTGAGTAGTTATACGTGCAAACTACCACTCCGTAGGACCTGAATTCGATCCTGGCAATCCGGGCAACATCTATGTAAATTAGAAAGTGTTTCCTAACAGCGGTCGCCCCTCAGCAGGCAGTGCCAAACCACCAAGTGTATTTCTGCTATGAACAAGCTTCCCACAAAAGCAATTTGCCATTAGGAGGCGACATTTGTTCAACATCAAGGCGCACACCTCAAATTAGAGCAAAAGCTCGGCCAAACACTTAGCAAAAATGTAAGCACCAAAATATTACATTTTCAATATAGTCTGTAGGTTAGTACAGTAAAATCCAACAAATGGAAAAATAATTTTTCCAACCTTGAGAAAGTTATGATTCTCAAGTTGGTATGTAACTTCGTTTTCCTTTCAATCTCCACATTTTTTGAAACCAAAAAGATAGACTGTGCTAAGGGATCCTTCAAACCCTATGAATCTCTATCTGGAATTTGGACGATATAAAAGCTTTTCTGATACAGTTCATGCCAAAGGCTTTAAAATGAGCTTAAGTAGGGTTTATTCCAAAGGGAACTTAACGGAGAATACCCTGCTGGAGTGAACGTAATGGGAAAGCAACCCAAAATTCTACACGCTCTAGCAAAAAGCGTCTTGCGTGTGTTGTGGAAACCTAGTCGACTTAAATGCCAATCTGGCAAATACCATCAAGATTCTACTTTAAAAGAAGGCGAAAATGTCGCTGTTTCAAGCTCTACCCAGAATTACAGCGGAGGACGGTAAAGCCGTCATTGTAAATTGCGGCGCATGACGGCTTCCGTCAGTTGTCATTTTCATTGGAAAACTATCATCAAAATTAAACATAAAGAAAAATTAATTGGTTTTACTTCTAGAGAAAGGAGAAAGATAAGCAGCTGTTACCACAACGGGCGCTTGGTATTCTAACTATGCCTTCTTGCAATTTTGGATGAGGTCAGCTAGTTATCCTCATCTAACATAACACATAACATAACACAAGCATATGTCAAAGCCGCTAGTTAGGGCCGACGGGAGTTAATGTATGACAAAATAAAGTCCACTTTAACAAACTTATTGAGCCTAAATCAGTGTGACTTTAGAGGTGGAACAGCCCCCAAAATCCAGACATTAACCGTACGCTGAATCAATATACCCACGAAAAAAAAAGAGTTGGGAAGGATCCGTCAGAACGGTTTCGCACTAACGCTACTGTTGACAATTATAATCCCGAAAAAGTAGCAGCCTTCCTTTGTTTGGAAACCAGCATTAAGACAGGCTTATCCTACATATTGACATAATGGACCGATAGGAAAGATGCGAGTTCTTCACCTTTAAATAATGCAGCCTAATTCTTTGAATGAACGGATTTTTCAGGGGTTACCTCTTTCAAATTTTAATTGTACTTCCAGGGTAGCCAGAGAGGTATTTTTTACAACTACAGGTTTCGTATCGGTTAAGGGAGTACAAAATCCTACTGGCCACTGCGGTTCAAGGAGCTTCTTCTTAAACATCTTATATGGCAACACTTATGTTGCCCAAAATAGTAAATTTACATCGCGTGTGTTGTCAGCACTGCCAAGCTTACTGATGCCATTACACCGTAACTGAAAGACTGTATTGATCCTAATCCGGATCATCATTGCCGCGTCTGTTTGAAGTACAATAAGGTGTAATCAAGCCAACATTTTTTGATTATTTTCTCTGCCTCCAAGCGGGTAAGGTTTAAAGAGCTTAGCTAATTTTCTGCCACGATCCCGGAAGGGTTATCTGGTGTGGCCATCAATTTCCACTTTCCTTTTTATTTGCTACTTTCATTCCGAAAATAGTATTCAAAGGTATTTACATACATATATGTGCATTTCAAGAAATTTCCTAGTGTGGTTCTTTTGAGGATGGCATTCAATCTAGGCCCAGTCCAAAGTTACTGGTCTTACATACAACATATGTATCTAGACATAGATATTTCTGATTTGGTGATTCTGTAGAATATCTTTATTTGACGTCTAGCAGGTTTAGCAGAATACTTTTTGTTAGGCCCATTTGGGTTCTAGGGCATAGCGACATTGCGGGAAGCTGCACGGCATAAAATGAACAGATATTAACCGGATATTAGAGAGAGTAAAAACGAATACACGGAGGGTCCTAGCCCTAGTATTTACACTTGAAACGTTCCAACCGTACAGTGTTCTCTGTTGGGGGTACCTTTGATCTCCTAGGCTTCACCTTGTGACAGCTTAACGAGCGCTGAGCGAAGACTAGGACTTGTGCAATTGCGAGATTCTCCGGCATACGGTGCATTGTGAGCCGCGAAGGAGCTCCTTGCGCTGGCAAAACCGCAACTCTCGCCATTGGTAGGGGTTCGGATAGGTTATCGTCCGATGGGTACTCACGCAGTGGGCTAGGAATCTTACCTGATGCTTCTTGTCGCAGCTTCCATGTGGATGGTGAGTTGGAATCTACCACTTTCTATTAGGCTTAGGTTGAAGTATTTTGGCTCAAATTTTTTAACTAATCAGGGGATCTGTAAGCTCTCAGGCACTGAAGTAAGGCGCATTCGTAATTTCGTCGGTTAAGCAAAGGTCGTAGACATATCGCACATGATCTTTAAAGGTGACACAACTAAAAATTACCCGTTTGTCAGAATATGCGAAAAACTATTTCTCAGCACATGATAATCTTATGGTCAACGGAGACTTTACCTTAGTTTTTTCAACAAATTGTAACAAAATTTTCCTCCAGCTTTTGCTGAATGGTAAATAAAAGATCTCTGTAGATTTTTAGCGCGTAATTTAAAAAATGCCAGATTTTTAATTGTGTCTGTTTTGAAGATCATTGTCGATATGTGGTATCACAAAGGAGAATCTCCCAAGCGTTGGAAGTATGGCAACAAGTCCCACAAAAGTCCTTACGACGTGATTTACGGACTAATACTATATAAAACTCCCTTCATGTTTACTAAAAAAAAAAAAAAAAAAATACAAAATGCCAACAAAAATATGCAAAAATTCACAAGTAATTTATCAACAAAAAAATTTAGACAATCACACAACACTACAAAATTGTCAACAAATACACACACACATACACAAATGCGAGGAATATGACGCACCGGCAACGCACAGCTACTCGAAGGCGTTCCAAACGCCGTTATTTGATATAACTTGGACGACGTTTCTTCATGCTGCCTCGCCTCGGGCGTGTTACACCACCCCGATATGTGCCACCGCCATCACGTTTGCTCTTCCCCTCACCACTCTTGCTGCTACCGTGATGATGTTGTTGTTGTTGCGACTTAGATGAGGCCAAACGCAAGCGCGGATCCAACTGTTGCTGATTCTTGCGCGCCCACACCACATAGGTGAGCTTCTCATCAGGGGACATTTGACGCCAACGTGAGCCGGCTGCGCAGGCAATCTGTTTGGCTGTCATTTGTTTGATGGCGCCACGTTTGGCTAAATTTTGTCGAAACTCGTGCAGGAAGATGAAGAAAGGGTTGGTGGCCTTCGATTTGGTGTCGCCGCTGCTGCTGGTGGTGCCGCCGCCACCCGAAGAATTACCGGCCGCACAATTGGTACTGGTGTCCTCATTCTTATTTCCAGCCATTTGATTAGATTTTGTACGAGAGTTTTTGAATTTCTTAAAAAACGTAAAAAATTTTTGAAACTTTTCTTCCTTTCATAGACTTCAATTTATTATTTGATTTCAATTTAATATAATTTTTGATTTTAGGCACAAAAAAGTTGTGATGAGGACAAAAAAAAAGTATAAACTCAATATGGGGATTAATGTTTACTGAACTGCTGAACGTTGATTAATGGATTATTAAAAAAGTGGCTGGACATTTCAAGTGGGGCTGCTGGGTGGGTGAAACGTTTTTTTTTTTTTGTTTTGTACTGAATGCGAGTGTCCTTTTTTCAAGTCGAAGGTGCTTAGGTATTTGGAAATATGCGCTGCCATTGCCATTTTTGGCATGAAAACTTGAGAATTCATTTTTTCGCAATTAAAAAAAAAAATAAATAAATACTAATTAAGTCATTAATGCACCCAATTGCATGGCTGATTTACTTTGTTTAAACTTTGCGCGTACGTCCTTGACTAAATACCTACGAGTACATTCTTTCAAATACAGTCTTCACAAATAGATATTCGTACAAAGCTTTGGCTTTTTTTTTTTTAACTGTTTCTTCTTCTTCTTATTTCTCTAAGCAATTCAATTGTGGCGCGCATTCGCTTTCGGCCCTGAGTTGGTCACTTCATTTGCATATTATTTGCGCGCACTCAACCGGATTAACTAAGAGTTTTAGAAAAATATTAAAATATAAAATATTATTATTATGATTAAAGGTAATAAGCGGAATAAAATCCATGTTCTATTTAATTTTTGTTTTTGTATTTGTTTCTGTTACCTTTGCTTTGTAAACGCGCTGCAAGCATGCGAGTAGTAAATTGCTGCATAATTTAAAAAGTCACATTGCTTAGCAGGGTTGGGCTGGGCCTTAAACGGCAAGTGAAAACAAAAACCAAAAAAAAATAAATAAAATAAGTGGATGTAAAATGAGTGCAGCCAAAGGCCGCTGCAATAGGCAGCGCGCTGCGATTAATTTGTGCAGCTTAAGAATTATTTGAAAATTGATTTTGCGATACAAAAAATTGTTTGGCCATTCTAAAATCAATTCAATTCAAATATACTTGTATGTGCATGCATTCTTGCTTG